TCATAGCTATATGCAGGCACACTCTGGAGTCGTTCTGTTGACCATCATAATACATAACACTGCCTAGCAGACCTTCGTTTTTCAAGAGAGGGAACTGAATGGGAAGAATGTCGTAGTATTAACTAAGGGTGTTACCATATGTAGGCTATTGGACTTGCTAACCCAATAAGAGTTGGGCAGTCCTGGCGAGAACAGCGTCGCAACATTGCCGCAAAACTCGTACCTGATGTGCTCGTTCAACTTTACTCGATGCCCACTGGTCTTACATCTTAAGACCAGCCCACATCATGAGTATGTCCCAAGGCTTATAGAGGGGCATTAGGATCGCCAAGGGTTGGGTCATGAATGGCGAACAATGCAGCATATGAGCCCTCTCACGCAGCGCCTATGTAGTGCTGGTCCGTGACATGTCCCATGGAGGACCTACCTCATAGACCAAAACGAGCATTTTGTAATCCAAGTTAAAGATGGCATCCTTCAAGTAGCGAACACCACCGTGGAGGAGCTTCGTGCCTAGTAGGGCGACTCAGCATCGACATTGAAGCGACAGTTGCCTACTTCTACTGCTGGTTCCTGAGGAGAAGTCCTCCCGCTCCAACAAGGCCACCTTGAGGCCCCTCGAGGCACCGTCCAATGCCACCGAGGCTCCTGTCGCGCCTCCGCCGATGACAACGATGTCAAATCTGCGATGACAACACGGAACGCTCTACTCGCGACGTTTTAGTCGCTACACTTCATTCCTCAATCGCTCCATGTTATCCTTTCGATTTGTTCGTGGTGTGAAATTACGATATCCACTTGGGGGTATGGTGGGCTGAGAAGAACGATGGAGACCCCAGGTAAGAGGGCCTACCGGTGTTGTGAAGTAGACGTAGCCGCATGATATCCCGACTGCCGATCCACCGACCAAGGTACCGTACTTCACGGTCTTGCCGAGGAGACGAGTGGCGAAGCTCATACGACAGAGGAGTATTCACACGAATGGAGACAGACGCGAGATTGAGGGTATCTTGCTCACTCGTCTATTCTTAAGTTTTCTCAACGGTTCCAAGAAAGTAAAACCCTCCTCAGAGTAAATTCTCCTCGAATTGCACAAGATGCAAAGTTCACTATAAGAGGATCTGAATGGGAATGCATGTATATCGGCGAGCAGGTCGGAGTGTACCGAGGCCTGTGTGATCATACTGTTCCAACAGTTCGAACGAATAGTTTGATGTCATTCCATCATGGTTGTACTGTGTTACTGCTGTTCTATTACAAGAACATACTTCATTAAGTAACTCTGAAGCTCCTAGTAATCGTCAATGACGATTCAACTGATCTCTATACTTCGTTATTTACGCCCTAATACGACTAATCGTACGAATGATAGGAAGCCCATTGCCTTCCATTCGTAGTAATCGTCCAAGACGATTCGTTCTACGAATTGATAGTTATTTACGCACTAATAGGATTAATCGCGAGTGATAAGAAACCTATCACCTTCCACACGTGTTTTCAACCGTCCCAACCCTAACATCTACTACTGCGACTCCGTAGTGTTGAGACAAGAAGCACATTCACAGTATCGATAAACTCAACCTTTCTTTCGAATGCTTCATTCGTTAATAACTACTAAGAACACAAACCTTGCTCGTTATACAGAGAAAGTGATCGTCGATCAATCGACTTCATCATACGCACTACAATGATGTTATCGATAAACATCAAAAGAAGAGCAGTACTACCAACAATGCACATTACGATACCTACACTTCTACTATTTTTTGAAAGAGAATACTATGTCTTTAGAGCCTTATTAGTGCTTATGTACTGTTAAAAAAGCGACCGTTAGGCACTTGTACCGTGCTACGATGTCGCATTGAACATGCACACTTATAGACTTATGGTCAAAACAACAGCATTAAGGATGTCACCATCTAATATCTTCTGTTCCTGTTGTTGGGTCTCATACGCCTAACATTGCCACCAAAGGGCCTACGCTGGAGGGCCATTGAACCGAAAGTCTCCTTGTCGGCCTCACGAAGCTTCTCACGACGAGTAGGGTCGAACGAAGGGATACCGTTCCGATCCAAGGCATCACAAGAGATATCATCAAAGAATCCCTTAGTCTTGTCATAGCCAGTCCTAACAGTCGTACCAGCAGTACTGATGGCAGACTCGTCAGGCTTCTCCAACTTCTCAGCGGAAGCAGCAAGATCAAACTCCTCCTTCACCTCGGCCTTAGCTTCAGGGTTCTCGTTGGGGACAAGCTCACCGACAGGGCCAGAGGGACCGGACCTTCTGTTCCTGTTCTGATGTCTATTACGATAGCCGTAGTTGTAGCCCTTGCCATAACCCTTACCACCGTAGTTGTTGTAACCCTTACCATAACCCTTACCGTAACCACCACGGTTGTTGTTGTAGTAGCCACGTTGACGCTGCATACCGTTAGTAGCGACAGTAGGGGCGTTCTTCTGCATGCTCACGATGGCGGGATCAGAGAGGACACCAGACCTCTGGCTGGCACCTTCTAGGACGGTCA